CCCTTACAAAACCTTGCCCTGCAAACCCAAAACAGAGACCAGCAGGATTATTGTGATTGGTATGGAATGTGTGAAAATACTCTCTTAAATATTGCAGGGGTGGTGTGTTCATCCACAGAATCCCAGACTGGTGGGGGTTGGAAGGGACCTCTGGAGATCACCTAGTCCAACCCCCCTGATAAACCAGGATCACCCAGAGCAGGTGGCACAGGATGGCATCCAGGCGGGTTTGGAATCTCTCCAGAGAAGGAGACTCCACAACCTCTCTGGGCAGCCTGTCCCAGGGCTCGATCACCCCCACAGTGAAGAAGTTTTTCCTCATGTTCAGATGGAACTTCCTGTGGTCCAGTTTGTGCCCATTGTCCTTTGTCCTGTTGCTGGGCACCACTGAGAAGAGCCTGGCTCCATCTTCTGGACACCCACCCTTTGGGTATTTATAAGTGTTGATAAGATCCCTTCTCAGTACAAGTTCATTATAAAGTTACCATAGTAGAGAAAGACCTACTATAGCAAAGCACTTGGAAAGTATACCCTATAAATGGCTGCAGCTGTTAAGTCTGATCAAAGAAATGGCAAATCGTTCAACTCTTTTAGATGTGAAATTGTCAGCAGTCCCCATATCTGCTGTGTCTATGTTCTGTGATACAGCATATGTGGTAAGGTTCCTGATAGCTCATCTGGGGTGAGAACTATTTCAGAGAGTGTTCTTCAGCAATGGCTGCCTGCTGCTCTGGACTGGCAGACCTGCCTCTAGAAGCTCTGAGTCCCTGTTCTGTCACTGCAAGCTTAGTCCTGTCTGAAATTAATGAAGGGCAGTGGTGAGGCACAGCCAGGGCTTGGTTGTCAGGTGAAATGTATGGACTAATAATAGAGCTGCTTTGGAATCCTAGGAAATGATGGGACAGCTATTGAGTCCTCCTTGGATTAAAGGCAGTGATTATCCTGTGGTACACTTGGGTAGTGAGTGGAAGAGGCTGGGTTTTTTATATTTATTTTCAGACTTCGCATCTTTGAAAGTAACTCTTTTTCCAAGCACTAAGCTGTGAATATGTGTTTCTCTGGGTAAAAAAAAAAAGTGTGTGTGTTCATCCAGCATATCCTTTCTGGGAGAGTTTCTTGTCTTTAAATGAAATCTGGCAATTGTTTCTGCATAAGATGTAGGGCTGCTATCTTTTATTGGGATCCTTCTGGTGCAGGGTGAGTTTCTGAGATGAGTGGACTGCAGGCTGTGTGAGTTCAAAACAGGTTCTCAGAGTTCCTGTTACAGACTGGCTTGCTTTCACAGTGACAAAGGCAGGGTGAGATGAGCAAGCTGTAGTTAGGCTGTGTGCTTCTTCATGTCGCACAAGTACTTTCTGCTCACGATATGCTGGAGGGGATGTGATTGCCTAGGAGCAAAAGGCAACCGGATGGTTCCTGATTCAATTCGCAAACATCATATAGGAAATAAAACTACAGAGTAAAGCTGTCCAGGTTATGAAATTCTTCATCAAAGCTGAGCAAATAATGTCAAGTTCATTTTGTTTCTGCAGACAACAGCAAAGCCTGTCAGCTCTTAAATACAGCTGATATTCCACATAGAGCCCTTCTTCAGGGGCCTTGGCAGAGCTCAGATGACAACCTGCCGCTAATGGGGCTAGGTGTAGTTGATGCAAGGCAAAGCAGACACCGAGGAGATGTGGAGCTTTTGGAATAAGACTTTATTGCTTCTTAAATAGAATCGATGTTTTTTTTCCTGGATGCGAAACACTGAATTCACTCTCCATGACTTGCTGTGTTTGTCACTAAGGCTGTGTCCTTGCGATGTTCCACTCTCAGTGGGGTGGGGGGGAAAAAATGGACAAAGCATCAGTGTTACTTTTTACTCTTCCAGTGAACTTACCTGGACCAAAACCATGTTCTCTTTCACCTTTTCAGTGTTTCTGTAAAACCCACTTTAAAACAAAAAATGCTTTAAGATTGTGGTTGACTTATGGTATTAGACTGTCAGATTGATATTTCTCAAAGTGTTGAATTTAGTCTCCAGCCTAGAGACCCTCTAGGCTTACCTGCTTCCCATAGATCTGTTTAACAAGTCTATTTCAGCAGGTGTCAAGAGTACAGCAGGGAGACTTGGTAATATTTTCCTTGTCCTTTCTTCCCATAGGGATATGCTCCACCGCCAAAAAATGGAATTGAACAGAAGCGACCTGGGCGCCCCTTGAACATCACATCTCTAGTTAGGTTGTCATCAGCAGTGCCAAACCAGATTTCCATTTCCTGGGCTTCTGAAATTGGAAAGGTAAACTTTATGTTCTGTAGGATGTGGAAAGTTGGCTGAATAACCTCACCTAGCATTCTTCCTGCCCCACTGCCTGATGTTGCTGGCAAGGCATACACCAGCATGTGTGTAGTATTAGGTGGCTGAACTTACTAGTATTCTCTAAGTAATACTAAGTAGTTTTACAAAAGTGGGTTTTTTTTATAGAAGGAGCTGGTTAGTGGATATTTCCATATCTGTTCTTCTGAGATTCCTTTTTTATGTGAAAATGGCCTCTGTGTGAGTTGATTTCAAATTGTACTTGCAAATTCCACCCCTGGTTTTTGTTTACTTCCAGCTCAGAAAGCTTTTAGATAGCACGTTGCTGGAGGGGTTTACTGGGCAGGTGTCAGGCTGCCGGTGTTGGCTGTTTCTGGGCTTGATGGATCTCAAACGTGCTTGGTTGGACCATATTTGTGCGGTGTGTGTTTGTAATGTAGGATATCTGAGCAGCGTGTGTATTCGTACAAATGAAGACTATTTCTGGAAGTTTGGATGATGAGGGAGAAGTGACTCAGTGTGGGGAAGGATGGAGACCTGGGGGGGGGGAAGAAACGTCTTCATAATGCAGTTCTAAACTTCATGGAAAGCTGGGGAAAAGCATGTTGGACTTCAGCTAGCAGGAGATACAGGGGGTGGTGACTTAAATATGATACCTGTTGTTTTCTAGTGCCTGCAGTCATTAACCATAGTTGAGAAGGCAGTTAGCTTTCAAAATGGAAGCATGGCTGTTTAGAAATCCCCCTGTGGATTTACTAAAGAAAGAAAGGGAGAGTGTGAGGAATTTCTGAATTCTTCCCAGGTTTAAATAGGTGGTGCAGCAGCCCTTTCAGCTGTTGGTAAGTCAAGAACTACTTATGCCTCTACCTATGACTAGTTGTGTAAATCCTTCTGGATTCAATTATCAAAGTAGCTTACCTCTTTTTTTCATCAAAATCAGCACACCAGACACCACAATTTTCAAAGTGAGACTCCAGTATAAGCTTTTATACACTAATTAAAATTTTAAAAAGAAGTTGGAGACAAAGCTCGTGTTCAGAAAATAGAGTGGTGCTGGCAGCAAAGGTTTTTTTCTAAGACAGAAGTGAAGGGAAAGGTCTAAGCCATTGCTTCCCAATCACAAAGCACAAGAATCTTGAATTGACTGCAGGGTTGTGTGTGGTCCCAGCCTCTCCTGCTGACCCCTGCTTTCTTCCTCCCCTGTATCTGCCAAAACATGTTCTCATGGCAGCAGATGAATTGGAGGTTGTCCCAGCATTCCCCCCCTTGGCCTGAGAGGTAAAGTGAATTCTCTGGTTTAATGTTGGTGCTCTGGTGTAAGTGTCGGAGCTTGCAGAGCAAGCTGCCGCTATCCATCCTCTAAATGAGACCCTTGGGGACAGCATGGGGTGTCAGCAGGGGCACATGGTAAGGGCTTATGGGCATCCACTTGATGCAGAGTGGAGGGCTTCTGAGCAGAGGAGGCATTAATCCCACAGAGGTGGTCAGACTTGAGCCTATAGAATTCTTTCTGTAAGCAATAAACAGTGCAATGTATGGTCATTCTTTGAGGAGAAAAAAAATTCCATTTTTCTTGCTTTTCCCGTGGTTTCCCATGCATTTAGATGACTTTTTCTGCTCACCTAGGTAAGAGCTGGTTTTCCTATATGTGGTAAAGGAGGAGTAGGGCAGTAGGTGTTCTTATTTAAAATTCTTGTGCAGTTTCCAGACAGTACAGGGGCTGTAAGAAGGTGGCTAGCAGGAGTGGAAATAAGAGGTCACAGGTTGTGTGTGTTATTCAGATTAAACCATTATTGTTCTGCAGTAGTGGGACTCACAGAACTTTCCCTTCATTAGTGACCTTGAAGAGAGAGTGAACGCTGAACAAAAGCAGCTGTCAAGTGGTGTGAGTTAGGGGAGAGTAGTAAATGCTAGGGAATGTGGCCAGCCTCAGAGGAGTGGATATGGTGTAATGAGGCTTGGCTTAGAAGTGCAGAGCAAGCTAAAGAGAAGGTACAAAGAAATTGGTGAAGGTGTTGGTTTTGCACCTGAAAGACAATTCATATCTTATTTTTTTTATCACGTGATTGTCTTTGAGCTCCCCACTAACAGATTGGCAATGAAAAAAGGGAAGAATTTAGGAGACAAACTTGAGAACTTCTTAAAGACGGGGTGTATGAGAAGTTGTGTCACCAGACAATCATCTTTCCAAGAAAAGAGCCCAGATTGGTCTCTTGGTTGTGGAGTTAATTTAGTTAAGTCACAACTGGAGTGGGATAGCTGGACTTGCTTGGCAGGAGAATTCTGGCAGAGTCTTGGACTCTTTCACAGTAACGAAGTCATCTGTCAATGCTTTTCATAACTATTAAGCAAAAAATCGCTGTGTCTTTGTTTTTACTGTATGCTACAACTAGCGTATTACCGTATGAAATCAATACTTAACCTTTAATCACTCTTTTTGTAGAATTACTCCATGTCTGTGTATCTTGTTCGTCAGCTCACTTCAGCTATGCTTTTGCAGAGGTTAAAAATGAAAGGTATCAGAAACCCCGACCATTCCAGAGCACTAAGTAAGTCAAATTAGTTTGCTTGTCTGTACTTTTTGAGGGTGGTTGGTGACTCTTTAATGCTAGAACAGGTAATACTTGGGAGATTTGCAACATTTTGAAAAGTCCATGCCCAGAGTATCAGAGGTTCCCTTTGCTGTTGCCGAGGCATCACGCACGTTTCGGTCTGGGTCCGTGAGTTGGTAGGCAGGTGCACCTAGAGATCCCATCTGAAATGTCCTGGTGGGAATGCCATGAGCAGCACTTCCTGCGGCAGGCTGCGAGGTGCAGGTGGACGCCCTAAACGGGGGTTCTTTTCACTTGCATGGGATGCTGATTGCCTTGTCTTAGTATCTCACTCACTGATGATTATTTTATGTATCTCTTCACCTGTTGGGTTGTTTGCTTTACTGACCGTTGTGGCTGTTAGTGCATCTGCTGCACTTCAGACAATCTTGTTGATGCACAGTCTTTGCCAGTCACTTCCAAATAATGAAACTATTGTTGCTTGATATGACTACGAACTAGTTTCCTAGATGCTTAATTTTTTTTAGATGGCTGGAAACAAAGTACAGGTACTAGCGAATCAAGACTAGCATTTGAAATAATGATGTCTGTGTATAACTTCTTAATTTATTTTAATAGTTAAAGAAAAACTCACTGCAGATCCTGACAGCGAGATCGCCACAACCAGCCTGCGGGTGTCTCTGATGTGTCCTGTAAGTATGGCTGGAAATTACCATACACAGATGTGTATTGTCATCTTTAATGAAGAGTTGGGCTGATTTCAAAAGGCCCTGCTTTAGAAACTTCACTGGCTTTTGTTATATACTGATTCATTAAGATAAAATTAATATAAAATAGTGGGGACTATTTTATACAAATACCTGACTGTAGCAGTGTTCAGCCAAGTATGGTTTAGAACTGTGAATGCAGTCAGACTCAAGTTGCGACTCGTGCATGTATAGCGAGGTCTGTAGAGGCATTGAAACTAATTGGGCAGGGTGACAGAGTAATTAAAGGACACAGTGATAAATAAAACTTCAGTTCTCATCTGAGTGGTGTTGCTTATACTACCAGGTACGATAACAAAAAACCTGATTGCTGTGTAACAAGGTAATGCTGCCTTGGGGTTTCTCTTCCCAGGCAGAAACCAGCTTTGTGTCAGTGACTGGCCTGTTATGATCAATGTTGAAACAGGTGTTACACCACTCTGAGTCTAACATAGTGGAGCTCACAAAAAACCCTTGAAATATTTGGCTAAAAGAAAATGATAAAAGCCAGTGTATCAGTAGGTCTTTTAATAAAAATAAAGCTCTAGAAATAAAAATGCCGGTCAATTAGAAATCTTTCTGACTGTTTTCTACTCAGTGAAGACATTGAGGATGGCCTTATTGTTACTTGAAGTGCACTGTACGTGCTTTGGTAATGTGGATTTGCCTGCAGCGACCTTAGCACTGGGCACCTCTGTAGTGAGAAGAGACAGCGACTTTGCTGCCTGCCTCTGATTTCATTGTTAGCCTTCATGGTCTTCTGTTCTGACGCTCACAGCTGGGAAAAATGAGACTGACAATCCCATGCCGGGCTGTTACTTGCACACACCTGCAATGTTTTGATGCTGCTCTTTATCTTCAAATGAATGAGAAGAAGCCTACCTGGATCTGCCCTGTCTGTGACAAGAAGGCAGCTTATGAGAGCCTAATATTAGATGGGTAAGAGACTGGGTTTGCAGATTACACAATTACTTAAAATGTTTCATCATGTACTTGATAACTACTTTTGTAACTTGAAGTTTAGCCATTACATACTATTTTCTTTGTCAAAATACTCTAGACTGGGAGGAACTGTTGACTCTGTTAGTTTCTATTCCTTTGTAATGAACTACCTAAGTTTAGCTCCTAAATGCATCATCAAACTCGGCAGCCTCAGAACATTTCCTCTTGAGAAATCCAAATGTGACACCTAAGGATATGTCTCCTTTTTACATGACCCTATCTCTGTAGCTGTTAACTTTAAATTTAAACTTCAACTCCTAGACAAGTGTCAAACTTGATTCAAAGGATGATGATTTCTGCTTCTGTATGGAAGTCTATGAATTGCAGTAGTGCTGGAGTGGAATATGGGTAGGTTGGGATACTCTCAGGTTTCTGTGGCTGGATGTCTGCCAAGGCTGTAATTAAAGGCTTTCAGGTTAGATGAACTAGGGAGAGCATATGTGCAGTGGGCTGAAGGTAATGATAATTAGCTTTTCAACTCTCTCTCCTTTTCACTTAGAATAAAAAAATCAGTTGGAATCAAAATGGAAACTGCTCAACTTTATTTTTCAGGCTCTTCATGGAAATCCTTAATGAATGTTCAGATGTGGATGAGATCAAGTTCCAAGAAGATGGCTCCTGGTGCCCCATGAGGCCAAAGAAAGAAGCTGTGAAAGTGTCAAGCCCACAGTGCACCAAAATAGAAAGTATGTACACCTGGGTACTGGTTGTAAACCAACAAAAAGTCTTGGAGACTTAGTTGTAGCTTGGATAATGTGTATGGATGTTGATGTTTGTTTTGTGGAGAGCTTAATGCTTCTAACAGTCTTGTCACTTAAACTAAAAAGAAAGGGTTCTGTCTCTAAAAGTGTGCATTTTTTGGGCTTTGTCTGTGCTTTCTGTAATAGCAGTTAAGAAAATGAAAGGTCGTTTTAGGCCCTTAAACTGATAAGGGAAGACTAAAGCTTGTGCTTTAATAGTCTCAGCATGACACAGAATACTAATAAAACAGCTCTTGGGCTGTAACATTTTCTGTAGCGGCCAGGAAGATGAACCAAAACAGGATTAGAGCTCCTAGTTCTGTTGCAAATAGGAACTGCTGATGTCAACAGCCTTTAAAACACAGTGGTATTTTATTTTCATGTTTAGGTTCCAGTGTTGTTAGCAAACCGTGTTCTGTGACAGTGGCCAACGAGGTAAACAAGAAGAAAGTTGACGTTATTGACTTGACAATAGAAAGCTCTTCTGATGAAGAGGAAGATCCTCCTGCCAAAAGGAAGTGCACATTTATGTCTGAAACACAAGGAAGCCCAACCAAAGGGTTTGTCAATTTTAAAGTTAGTTATTCTGTAATGTCTTAGATAAACTGATGTGTAGACAAATGGACTTGTAATCTGTCTCCGGGATCCAGCTCCATGCTTCTAGAGGAGAATTTCTAGGCCTCTTCTTGCAGAAAGTTGTATTGGTACGGTACCTTTGTACAGCCAAAACACTATTAAATAGTTTTACATCTCACAAAAGACTTGCGCTGACTGTTGCTGTGTTTGCAGGGATATTTCTCCATAGAAAAGGAAGCTGATTAAGCTAACGGACAGGATTCTCCTGAGAAAGCAGATAATGCCGAGTGGAAGAGCTTTATGCATTCTTGCTAAGTTAGTGTCATCGTAAAGGCTTTTCTCTCGCTGTCTGTTACACCCTTTATCTAATCTGCCCTGGTGCCCTGGAAACTAGGCTGGGTTGCGTATTTCATCCATCCTGTCAGTCTTGGAAGGGAGACGCTTTGCTTTTGTGAATTGAGACAAGCTTTTCCTCCATCTCTGTCTGAAATGTCTTGAACGCTGTTGTTGGCTGTGGTTATCAGTCATCCTGTACCCTGGTTAGCACAGCCAACAACTTCGAGTCCTCTGTCAACTGCTCTGTCTTTGCAGTCGTGCCTGACTTCAGTGGCAGGCTTAACCAGCTTCTTTACTCTTGTGCCTCTTCCTGTCTGTGCTAATCTGTGCAGCTCATTTGTGGCTTCTATCCAGCTCTTGCTCTTGGCCCGTAGGATGCAGGAGACCTGCAGGGAGAGAGGGGCACTGGTTAGGCTCGCCAGCAGTCACTGCTCCAGAAGGCAATTCCAAGCACCAGCTTTTAGTAATGGCTTATTAGTTAGTGTTGCTGCATGTGTGAGGTGTGTGTCTGTCTCTTGGAGTAGTGGCTTATGTCTTGTACTAAAATAACAGTAATAAAAACAAACTCCTTCTGTTTTGGCAGCTCTTGAAGTAATGAGCAGGTGTACTGTGTCTCTAGTCCACGGGAATGTGTGGTCTTTGGTGAGCAAATACTTGGTCATCTTCAACAACTTTCAGCAGTGATACTGAAATGCTGTTGCTTTTTTGTGATGATTGTGGGGGAGTCCTTCTGCAAGAGATTGTTTCTTATTTTTGTAAGAAAAAATAGCTACAAATACATCTCTTAATGAAGTTTCAGAAGGCACCAAGTCTTCCTTCCATGCTCCTGTGTTTGTCTGAGATGGCTACCTGAGTTTTCTTGTCTATCTGTGAACAATGTATTTTCCTTACTGTTTGGGTCTTTAAACAGCATGTTTTCGTTCTTCAAATCCAAGTCAAAACCTGTTTTTTGGGGAGTAGCTTATCTACCATAAACACTGTTGCCTGAGTGCTAGTTTTAGCAAAACTGTGGGGTGCCTCCCTATAGGCAGAAGCAACATAGGCTGAAGTATAAGAGGTGCTTGAAGAAGGGTCTGAAATCCAAGCTTCTGAAATCAGAAGTAGCATAAACACACCAATGCAGCAGTCTGGGGAGGAAGATGTGGGTAACGCTCATGGCTGGTGGGAGCAATGCGGGACTGTGGGTGTTCCCATCTGCCATGGCATTGATGAAAGACTTTATGCAGCCTGTGGTGTCATCTTTAACAGTGCCATGAAGTAAACAGGCAGACGGTGGGGATGCAGGAGGGTTTTAACTGGCTGCATGCTCCTGGAGACCTGAACTTAGCTTGGGCTCAGGCTGTGGATAAAAGATGGGTTTGATACTTAACTCCCACATGCATAATCTGTGCTCCAGGGGCTGAATAACGGCCAGCCGCACCCTTGGCGTGACAGGTTAGCACTGAGGAACAGTTCTGTGGAGAAACTGAAACAAGTGCTGTCCTCCTGGCTCTGGCTACCTGTACATCATCCCCCAGGGTGCTCCACAGATACAGATTTCCATTTCTGTCTCTGAATAAATGACTCCAGCACTGTCCTGTTTTAATGCCAACTTGCTCTTATGTCACAGCTGCTGTTGAGAGACAAGATACGGTCATGTTATTATGAAGACTGTTATGAAAGAGGAAATTAGAGTGGAATACTGTGTAGTGAGTAGCCACGCTATAGTTGCGTTGTAACATAGTGACCTTATGAATGAGAGTGCACAGCAGTGCATAATTTCTCTTCTGTAACTAACGGCCAGGTTGTCTGTAATTTCCCATGCTGTTAAAACAGGGTTCTCATGTATCAGCCATCTACTGTCAGAGTGCCCAGCGTGACAACGGTTGATGCTGCTGCTATTCCTCCTTCATTAACAGACTACCCAGTACCGTTCCATCATCCTCCAATATCCAATATTTCTTCAGACTTGCCAGGTAGGTGGCGGCTATTTTTAATGTGTATTCTGAAAGTTTTATTAATTTGCGGGGTGCGTAAAAACTGGAGAATTGATCAACTTTTGTTTAAAAATGGAACAAGACTATATGCCGTATTGCACTGATGTGATGTCTAAACAAGTCTAGCACAGGCTGTCTTTCCAGTTTCAGATTGCGCTTCGCAGCAGTGATGTGAAAAGCATTCCCAGGGTACACCTTCAAACTGGTACTGTGGAACGGCAGCCAGAAACCCTTCTTGCTGTATTCAGACTTCGTGTAAACATCTGGTTGTTACGTGTTGTAGTATGTGAGGGAGAGCAGTTGCTTATTTAAGTTATAGATGTGCAATGGCACTGACTCATCCCAACCCTAGATGTAGAGATAACTGTTAGCTGATTCTAGTGGTGCTGTCTAGACTGTATGAAAAAGGTGAAGGTGAGCTACAACATGTAAGCTGACCTCTATTGACTTTCTTTACCTAGACATACCCTAAATGCCTATGGTGTATTCTTCAACACTACTGCTAAATATCAGACAAAAGGTGGGGATACTGATTGTTTTCTATCCTGGCTCCTTGAAAAGAACACTGTATGTAGGGACTCTGGGTGTTCTCTTTGGCTGTAATGGACCCAGAGCCCAGGAAATGGTGACTTGTGACAGGTGTCACACTGGCCCCCTGTACTTCCCGTTCCCCCTCCATTGCCTGTCTCCATTTCTCCCCTGCAACATCTCTGGGATTTTTCTCTTCTTTCAGCACCAGTTTGGCAATGGGATGGATATCATTCCCCTTGTTTCTGTCCATTTTGGTACCTTACTGCTCCCTCCCTCCACATCTCCCTTGTTAAGAAATTGGTTGCCCTCCCAAATTGGATAGGGGAGTAAGGTGAGAGAATGATGTCTAGAACTGTTGTCCAACTGAAGTTCTGGAAACATGCAACAAAAAAGAAGCTACAGATTCTGTAAAAGCAGCTGAGCCTTAATGTCCAAAATTTTTCTCTAATGGAGAAGAGATGCCACTGGCTGGAACAGATTTGGAGGTGAGGGAAGAGGGAGGGAGTAAGCTTACCATTTCTTTCTGTTGACATAGCAAACACAAGGCCAATATTTAGACAAAACAAAAAAGGTTGTAATTTCTCATTGGTTTCATAAACATCTTGCCCTAAATGCTTGCACAGTAATGGTATATAAGACGGACACTAGTTGTCACTGCTCTTGGAGGATATACGTTGAACTACTTGTAGTTTCCTCTTCTTCATTCCTTTTATTTGTCTAGACACAAAACGGGGATGATATTAGAAATGTTTCCTTATTGGCTGCCCGTGGGTGGAGGAAGAGACCTGCTGCTTGTTTTTGGACTTGTGCATGTTGTGACTTTACTTCATTCCAGCATCTTTAATGTGATGACACTCTTCATGTCCCAGTTTGGCCAAGTCAGGTACAATATGCAGTGAAACTTGCATTATGAACCAACAGCTCCAAATGGCAACCTCCATCTAAGCAACTACATTGAACCACCCTGCAATATCCAGTGAATAATACATCATTACGTCATTCTCATTCTTAAAAAGAGCCACTTGTACTCAGTAACTTGTTTTGCTGCTGCCTGAAGTAGTCGTTGAGAGTAGTGTCACAGTGGTATAGTCTACTTAAAAACTGTGTAACGATTGCAAAATCTAGTCTGCGACCACAAAAAAGTTCCTTAAATTTGTTATGTATTAATAAAAAAGACACATCGATTTATTATCCTTCTCTTCTTTCTAGGTCTGGATTTTCTTTCACTAATTCCAGTTGATTCACAGGTATGTTTCTGAACTGCTATGGGGTTAATTTTGAAGTCTGGTTCTTGCGACATACTGCTCAAGTAGCTATCAGCATGCTGTCATCATCCATTCCATGTTTGCAGTCTACTTGCTTAGACCTAACCACATACCAGGAAAATCCATTTTCCCAACAAGAGGTGGTAATGAAGATGCATTAAGGGAGGATTCAATTCAGCCTGTGATAATAAATCCCCTCTATTGATAGTTTACCTCTCTAAAGCAGATACTTGCACAGCACTAACCTGAATACACCCATCATGTACTTCACGCTCTTACTTCATAATGTTTATCTGTAGGCCAGATTCAGCTCTGTAAATGTACTTCCCTGATTGCTGTTTCTGTTCGTTTTGATATTAGGAGACAAAGTTTCAAAGAAAATTTCTTCATTAATTTGGGCACATGACTGAACACTTACAATAAATCCATGTGATGCCTAAACCCCATTGGGTTTGGATTATATGGAAATTTGGTAGGTCAAAAGTAACTAGGTGGTGCGGTACTTCTCCTTCCCTGGTAACTTAAAGTTTATGCAGTTAGGAGGAATGATTCTTACTGTAACTAGATTCTTACACAAACTGTGGCCCTGAAGTGTGGGGGAATATTGGCTTCCTAAGACAAGAGGATCTGAAGCAGACCCTCTGTTTCATCTCTGTCACTAGCAGATGACAGTAACAGGACTCTACTGTAGGGTTGACTTTCTGGTGCCTTAAAAACAAAGGATGAACATCCTCCTTTTCTTTCCACTTACTGCATCGTGCAATACTCTGTCCCTGACCTTGATCTGAACTGCCAAAGTGGGAATAACAGAAGTGTGTTCATGTGGGAGACTGGAAGCAGGTATGCTGCTGTGAAGTGTCTGCTTTGGACAGTTAAAACAGTTCAGGCTCAGTTCCAAACATATGCCCAAGATTGGAATCCACAGGGTAAGAGAAAGTAAGGTGTGTTGAACAAATGTGTGTGCACGTGGGGGTGTCTTACATTATCCTCTGCTTTGACACCTGGCAACCTTGTGTTTCTATATGCTTATAATGTTTAGCTCTGCTTGTTTTCCACTTCAGGAAATTCAAATCAACTTCAGGGCTCATTTATCACTGCTAAAATGTTTAGACACCTGCATGTATTGTTGCAGGTATATACTATGAAAATGTTGATTAGTACAGCTGCTGCCATTTGAGGGAGATGAACTTTCTCTAACCTCCCATCAAAGTAGCAAAAAGCATTCTGCTACCTGTTGTGATGAAAGGATCCCATAATACACAGTTGTGCCCAGTAGCTATGGGTGGTGAATGTTCTCCAAACACTGATGGGTGTTTTTTGTGATCATCATGTGGTCATGACAGGTTTTTTTAATGTGCTAGTGAATGCTCAAGCTAATCAGTTAGTAAAAAAAAAAAATAAATTAGAGGATGAGGGAGAAGGGCTCATAGCTACCATCTCTGCTTGCTTACTTGCTCGTTTGCAGAACTCCGGTTCTTGCCATGCATGTGTCAATGAGGTTCTGCTAGTAATGTGTTCTGTGCTTGTTATAGGGAAGATGTATCTTCAGAGCATACATTTCCCTCATGCAGTTAGTCTCTTCATTCTTCGTTGTTTGTTTCAAGCAGTACTGTCCTCCTATGTTTTTGGATAGTCTCACCTCAACAAGCAGCACGCCTGGCAGCATCATCACGTCAACCAGTCACCACGAGAGCAGCACACACGTTAGCTCCTCCAGCAGGAGCGAGACCGGAGTGATAACGAGCAGTGGAGGCAGCATTCCTGACATCATCTCACTGGACTGAGACAAGGGGCAGCAGGGGACTCCAGGAGAAATTGCACAGAGCTGTTGCTTGTATCTCGAACTTCAGCATCTCAGAAGTTATTCTGGTATTTATTGAAAGGATTTGCCTTCTGGAAAGTGGAGTAAATTCATCTACAGTAGGAACAGAAGTGAATGTGGTTTTTTTTCCTTGCTCATTAAATAGCTGGTATAGAAAAGGCCCCTTCAGAACATGCTTTTATGCTTTTGGCTTGTTCTGGGGAAAGTGACTTTTTTGTTGCTTTTGGTTTGGATTTCACAAATGTTTTTTAATTTTGTTGTAAAATACAGCAATAATGTAAAAACAAATGAACTTTTTGTAATAAAAAAAGGCACTTAACCACTCTAGGTAAACAACAACATGGACAAAGGTGCAGAAGTGTACGCATTGGTGAATTTTTAGTATTTTCACTAGGGCCTCTAATAAACTTCATCTAAGCAATGAAGCTTTGTGAAATAGCCATGACTTGTATTGTATGTCTGTTGTCCCCCATTTCCCCCTTGCCTGGAGACATAGGGGAAGCTTCTGTAAATGGGATTGTTTGTTTGTTTCTGTTTTCATGCTTAGCACAAATGCAGCAAAATCCTAACTGTGACTTCTTAATGTTCTTTGGGCTGGGGAGGGGACAAACTATCTATGCAAACCTTGCATTACACAATCTCTGTGCTGTCATGTCAGAATTAGGACACCTCGCCATGACCAAAAACTCCAAACTATGCATAGCTGAGCTATAGTTGAATTTCTGGTTTGACAACTTTAAGAGGTGATAGAAAGCCTTTACACTCAAAAGTGTAAAGATTATAAAGTCCTTGGTGACCCTCTTTGAAACTGGCACCCCTTAGCAGATAATCAAGGAAGAGTAAGCTTTCTGTGGCAGCTCTAAGGAAACAAAATAGGAATTACTTTCCAGTGCAAGGTTATTTTCTAGGATCTCTTGTGCATTGTTTCTGTCACTGCAGTAACTCTGTACTCTGCTTGGGGGAATACTGCACTCTGGCTTGCTGGCAAGAGGCTTGGCTTTTTGGAAGATAAAAGCTGTAGCTGCACAGTGTTCACACCTAACTGGAATTGTGTTTAGGGTTTAGTGATGCTTTACCCCACATTATGTGGCTTCCTAATCGTGGCTCTTCTAATTTGATGGGACTAACTTCCTCTGTTTTACTCCTCTGATGAATGTGCTGCTTTGTCGTGTGTATGCAGTGTCTCCCCACACACCTCTGAGAATACCCTCAGCAGTGCTGTATGTGGAAGAGGTTACAGACCAGGAAAATCAAGTCATTTCCATAGGGCTGGAATAATGGAATTGTCTATATATGTTGACATAGCAGCTTTTCCAAGTGGGTTTCTCTTGAGTAACTGTATTGAGATTATTCCTTCCCGAATTACCAGTTTTCACTTTTACCTAATTTTGTGTTCCTTTTTTCTTATTTCCTTAGTTGGGTGTCTGGTGCTTTTTGCCTTCCATTACTGTTGCAGTATTTGAACAAAGTACATAGATAAGAAATATTGAAGCAGGATGTATTGTAATTCTTCTCTGCCCTTACTGTTCCTCATTGCCTGTTTTGTATGATCTTTCACAGCTGTTTTCAATTCACATGTTGATCTTAATACTGCATCCAATCTTTCTTCTTTCCTTATCTGTTGAATTTTTTTGTACCTGTTAACAATCAGGTTTTTGGCATGATTTATTTCCAATAAAGCCATACTACTTATGGTTTTTTCCTAATGGCCTGCAGCAGATCAGTGCTTTCTGCATCAAAATTACAGTGACTTGAACTATACATAGAGTGGGGAGAGATGTTCCAGAGTCATTCTGAATAAAGTGTTTAAAACTGGTAGCTGTTGCTGAAGATGTGTTTGTGCTTTTAATGCCAAGCTGAAGTGTGACTCAAGCAATTGCCAAACTGGCTGAAGGGGTGCATACATCTTGTGTATGTCAAAAGTAAGGGCAAGTGCTGGTTTTTTAGGATGTGCTCTAAACCATTCATGGTATTATAAAATATGGCTGGAATTTTGTTAAATTATTGTGCCATGTTAAGTTTTCAGGGCTGAGGTACAGTTGTGTTCTGCAGCTGTATTTAAACCTTCTGGGCCCATCAGAGCAATGTCAAATGTAAACTCAAGGCACTTGAGCCTTACCCATTCAGTGGAGAGTTAGACTGAGGTTAAGCGTTCAGGTGAACAGTAGTTTTCCTGCAATGCTGACCTATACACAGTAGCTAATTACTAGGCTTGAGTAATGCTTAAGTCCTTCCATTCACTTGAGTTTGTAGATGATGTGTCTCAAGGTGTTGGAGTACTGCAGTGCAGTTGTCCCCCCCATTCAATAGGCCTTTTTCCACAAGACAACAAATTTACTTAAGCAGTGGCGGGTGGAGAGGGGAGTTGGGGTTGTAACTTAGTCGAGGCCTGTACCACTCAAGCCCAGCTCTAAGCAAACCTGTCCATTGTAGCTAGATGAGGTTTTGGTTTATTTTTCCTTCAAGTTCTAAAATGCATCAGAATGTCTGAACTTCTAACATGAGAAAAATCTTGAAGAAAAGGTTAGAAGATTTCTTACCTCTTTGTTTCCAATATGGAAGTATCTGGTTACTGCTTTAAACAGGCTATATCAAAGATACCTTCAAACCAACTGCAGAAGGAAAATAAAGCTTATGAGACAAAGTCCCCCTACTTGCACAGGTAACCAGTGTGCACAGGAAGCCATGCTGGAAGAGCTAGCCCTGTTTTTTTCCCCACCTGTCCATTTGCTACATCTTTTTCTGCATTTTGTGGAAATGAGCTAGCTGCTTAAACTACCAGTTACAGAAAGACTATACCTATTTACCTGAACACTATCAGCCAGAGCTGGCTTCTGGTTTTCATACTTCTAGGTCAGAAGAAGGTGGCTGAAACAATTGTGAGCCATGGAGGCAGGACTTTGCTGCCCAAAGATACAGCTGTAGGAGGTTCTGCACCTGTCCTGCAGCAAGAATTCAGACAATTCCAACATCAGTGGGGATTTTCTGTATCTGCCTTTAAATCTGGGTGCTGGATGCCAGAAAACTTACCTGTAAATGCATGGCTTTTGCAATCAGTCTTCAAGAGCACAGAGGATTCAAGTTTGGAAATGAAAGAATGCATCTTCTAGCTGTGAGGACAGAACCTCACAGTTCCACAAGAAGTTCTGCAAGAGCAGCAACAAAGGGAGCTGCTTCCTATGTTAAAAGACAATTGTGGGTTAGGCAAACTGTAAAGGACACCATTTGTCCTAGGCAAATGATTTTTTTTTTTAAATGAATATTTTTTGATGCAGGCATCAGTGACTACAGATAAGATACAGTCAACAACACTCCCTTAAGTCCAAGTCCAATTAGCACTTTTTTTTTTTTAGTAGGTGATCATGCCATCATCACAATATGTTAAAACTGTTGGTGTATTCAATGTGACACTCTAAAAACTTTCCATTTCCTTCCTGATTTTATGAGGAAACGGTATCAGGACAAAACTGGGCACAATATCACATAACATGAAACAGATGTGATTATAACTTATCTAGGAAGTTACCCAGAGGTGGAATACTTTCAAGCCTGTGCGTTTACATGTTTCAGCCACAACGTGCTGAGGATGAGAATGTGCCTCATGAGGCTCTCCAGGCAAAATCTGCCAGTGATCAAAGATACACTGTGGAAAAGCCTGGCCACCAGTGTTGGATCTCAAGTTGGCAGTAAAATCTAGTGGGAAGGAAAAATTAAAAAGGGATGAGCCAGCTACAGGAAAAAAATAAAACTGGTTTATTGTGAATTTCTGGATAGACAAAACCCTAACAATGGTACAGTACTGTTAGGAAACTGCTAATTTGCAGGTAATTTTTTTCAAGCAGGTAAAAATGAGGCCAACTCCAAAGACCTGCAGAAAGATTTTGTGTGACCAAGTCAATTGGCAATAAAAAGGCAAACAAATTTAGATAGAAAAGTATATAGGGAAAATTATGTTTTGTATGTTTCAGGACCTGAACCAATCACTACCATTCAGTTTGAGATCTTGGCATTATGGTAAGTAGTACAGAAGCATTAGTTCAGCTTTCACAAGTGGTCAAAATGAGAAATCAAGTGCTGGTACCTGTTAGGAAAGGAACTTTACGTGTAACCAAAGATATATAGGTGTTTCCTTTGCGATGAAGATGAGGAAATGGCAATGTCATCCCCTTCTCCCAAGTATTTGGTCTCATGAAGAGCTGCTGCCTGTGAACTGAGACTTTGCTTCTAGTTTATAGGAATTCTGGTATTTCCCCACATTTTTAGATCACTACTTTAGCAAGATTCAACAGCAGCTTTGGCAGGAAACCAGAGAGGGGGTTTTACAGAATATGGATATTCATGTGCTGTGTAAGTTGATACTGAGAGCCCAGTGTAATACACATCCTACCAAGTCTAGGCTTACACTTCTTTGTTTTTCCATGTTTGGAAAATGGGTCTTTTTATGAAATCGTTTTAAGCTTTATGGACACTTGAAGTAGAGGGAAAAAAAACCCCACCCCAAATATTCAAAAGCCCAGCATACTGGGTTTCCATGGCAAAGTTCTGGTAGTGGGGGGACTGTAGGGCTGGCTTCTGCAAGAAGCTGCTAGAAGCTCCCCCATGTCCAACAGAGCCAATGCCAGCCGGCTCCAAGATGGACCTGCTGCTGGCCAGGGCCGAGCCCATCAGAGACAGTGGTAGTGCCTCTGGGGTAACAGGGTTAAGAAGGAGAAAAAAAAAAAAGGAACAACAGCTTTTGCAGCTGGAGAGAGAAGATGTGAGAAACAAACAACTCTGCAGATACCCAGGTCAGTGCGGAAGGAAGGGCAGGAGGTGCTCCAGGCACCA